CATGGACCAAACAGGCATTGGCACCTACACCATGTACATTCTAGTATTCTATCAACCTCTCAGATCAACTCTACTCTCAAGTGTAGTGGGTTCAATAACGGCCTCCAAAAAGATGTGTCCAATTCTAACCTCTGGAACCAGTGAAGGTGATCTTATTTGGAGTAAAAGTCTTTGCAGATATAATTAAGGATCTCAAGGTGAGATCATCCTGGATTTAGGGGGGCCCTAAATCCAATGACAATATTTCTTATGAGGAGGAGAGGACACACAGACATAGAGAGAAAAAGGTGATGTGAAGGCAGGCAGAGGCTGTACTGATAGGTCTACAAGTCAAGGCATGGCAAGAATGACCAGAAGCCACCAGAAGCCAGGAGAGGCATGGAACACATCTTCCCTCAGATCCTCCTGAAGGAACCAACCCTGCCAACATCTCAGTTTCACATTTCTGGCCTCCACAACTGTGAGAGAATAAATTTCTGTTGTTTTACACCGGCGAGTTTGTGGTAATTTGTTACAGCAGCCCTAGGAAACTAACATATCAAAATATTCCTGGTCCACGTACCAAAGAAGCTCCCCCCAAAACTTAGCCTATACTGTTCATAGGGGGATCCGGCTTCAGTTAGCCTCTTAAAACTTTACTGATCTTCCTCACTTCAGAGGTTTCCCATTTCTAATCAAGCCTTTCAGCCTGAGGTCCCACACAGCATTATCCAAAAAATTCTCACATCTCAACAACAGTGTTATATATACTTCATTTGCTTCTTTGAAAGTACAGTGAGTATCTCTAACAGGAATGGCATGTGGCCTGGTGCTTTGGAATAATTCCATTTAATGCAGCAATAGAGGACCCAGGCTTTCCTGGCTAGATGCTCCAATATGGCACAAAACTAATACAAAGTATAGGAAAGAAGGGGTCATTTCCGTGCGGGCAGTTCTGGGGAAGCTTCTAGGAGGAAGGCAGGAATTGAGCTGGGCCTTGAAAAGGGACAACAGCAATAATAATCATCACAACGATGCTCTCATTTATTGAGCATCTATAACATGTAACATGCTGTCCTACTGCCTTGACATACTTTTTCTATTTAATTCTCCCGGTCACCCCACAAAGTAATTATTTGCCACTCTTATTTTCCTGAGAAGAAACCTGGGACTTGGAGAGCTAAGGGCCAAGTCCAAGGTCACCCAATCAATAAGTGCCAGGACTCTGGCAGATGAACGTACAAGATGATGGAAGGGAGAAGGTCAAGCTAGGTGAGGAAAAGGAACAGAGGTGGTGGGTGAGGAAGCCATTGCTGAAAAGTCAGGCTGGCGGGAGAATGTTCTGGCATTTGAATGCCCTTTTGAGGAGCTTGGACTTGATCTACTTAGCTGTGCAAGTTGCCAGAGGTATGTGAGTGAGTATAAGACTGACTAGCTCAAGTCTGTATTTGGGAGGAAAATGCTGGACTCGGGGATGGAAGCGCATGGTGAGAAGGAGTAAGAAGACCGGTCTGTCCCTGTCAAATATGGAGGGCCTGAAGGAAGGCAGAGGTGGTGGGACTGGCGACAGTAAGGCAGGTTTGAAAGATATCAGAAGCAAGACATGGTTTGAACAAGACATGGTACTCAAGAAATGAGGGCAAAGAAGCTGTCCTGGCTAACACAGGGGTGTGGAAGGATGAGTGAGGCATTTATCACAGCAGAGGGCACAGGTCAATGGCTGGATGGGCAGATGTAGCAGACTGAGTTTAAAAAAGATCCGATCTGTTTCTGCCTCCATGACCCTCACACTCCAGAGATGTCTGGTTAGCAGGTGGCGCTGCAGCTTCTGCCTTCTTTCCCTGCCTCTGATGGACTTCTTTCAAGGGGAGCTGGATGGAGTTTATAGGGTATATCTTTAAATTAAATAGATAAGTAGTTTTAAACTCTCCAAAAGAAATAGTACACTCTAGGTTTGAATCATGCAGCATGTGTAAACCACTGGCTATGTCCCAGAAAGGTCCACTTCCCCAGCATCAGGATGGCCGTGTCTCATAGGCCTAGAACTCAGTATTTGGGTACAAAGCAACCCAAACACTGCCTGCATATTAAATATGAAATCACCAAACTTAGTGAGGAGAATTTAGAGCTGGAAGCCACTGCAGGCTCTTGTGAACACACTCAGGGCTGTCTGGAATGTTTCTGGTTTCAGAGCACCTTCCCAGCTCCTACTGACTTGCCTCTGTCTTCTCTGAAGAGCCAGAGAGTCCTCTCTCCATACAATTCTAGAAGAGACCATCTAAGACTCTAGGGCCGACATACCAAATAGTCAGGGTCTAAGAGAATCTAAATTCACACACTGATCTCTTAAGAAGCAGCTGGAAAGAGTATCAATAAGCATTGGACTGGATTGGAGTCAGAAGACCAGGGTTCAAATGTTGACTTGACCTGTGGTTCTTATTAGTTGTGCGCTTGGCAAAGTCACAGATCTTGGTGGTGGGCTGTGCTGGGGTCCCCTGCCTGGGTCCACTGTTGCTGCAGTTGTGCGCCCAGCCTGTGTAGCAGCCAGCACCTGTGTCTCTGTCCTGAAGGACTGCCCTTGACCTATTGGAGCCCACTGTTGCCTACTGGGACCCTCAGCCAGTTATGAGTGTGTGCATGAATATGAAAGCCCAACACTCAAATCTCTGGGAGGCAACTTCCACTCTGGAGTTCCCTCTCCAGGAGAGTATGTCTGAAATCATTCTCCTTTGAGCACCGACCGCTGTCCCTGTCTTGCTTCCTTCCCTCACTCCCCACGCCCCCGGCTGCCCTGGGGCGTGCCCTTAGTAAATCGCTCATCCATGAAACCTCATCACAGCATCGCTTCCAGGAAGCCCAACAGAAGACCAGCCTCTGCTGGAGGCCATGCTGGAGGAACCATATCTTAAAGCAGCGAGCAGAATATCCAGTACAAGGGCCACGACAGGCAAAATTTGGCAAAAAGGCATGTTTTGTTTGGCTCACAGGCTTTAAAAAATGTGAAGGGCCTTGCCAACATTTAAAAACAGGGAAATTTCACTCAAAAGCCCAGATCTCCCCTTTGTCCTGAAAAAATCAGAAGATCCAGCTACCCTGAGCCTACACTCTTGCACAGCAACAGTGGGGTGGTGGGACCTGGGGGCCAGTCCCTACCAACCCACTTACTCACTGACACCCATAGTCACCAGAGTTGGCATAGAAAGTACGCAGTAAAGCCTGTCGAATCCGAAGAAGGCATCATTTTTCTTGAAAACAATTCAGCTCGAGGGCTGCTGGAGAGCAGGGGTGAATAATTGTGTAAGAGGCTACATCGCTGTTCCACTCCAGCTCTCCCCTCATGCCTGGCAAGGCACTGATGTACACTTCCACAAACACTCTTCTGAAAGAAGATGAATCAATGATGAGCGCTGCCATGATAGGAAATTTGTGTGACAGGGAACACACAATGAAATGAAATAAAACCACTTGTGGTTTCAGTATGCAGGCGAGAAACACAAAAACAGGTCTTAGTTTCAGATGTTGTTGTATTTTGCCATAAATAAAAGGATGGCTACAGTTCAAAAATGACATTATAAACATTTCAGAATGTTGACTTGCCTAGCCTATGTACTTTTTTTCTTTTTCTTTTTTTTTTTTTTTTTAAGAATGATGATAGTTGAAGCCATTTAAACCAAGGTAACTGGTAGTAGATCATTTAAAGAAACAGAAGTTCCCTTGCACACTGGAACCCAGCCATCCAGTCAGGAGTGTTCAGGTCACTGTCGGATGGGTCAGGATGTGGTACAGAGAGAGGGGAACAGTTGTTATCCAGTACTTCAGTTACGTGGCGGTCAAATAAGATAGCTCCTATTTTCTGAGAGCACATTGCAGACTTCAGCTTCAGGCAGCATAATTGAACAAGGGTCTCAGCTACTCCCTGAAACCCATCTGTGCTCTGAAATCCATCTCCTCATTTGCACTGAGTCTGTGCTCCCCATGGACCGCTCTAGCATCAATAGGACTGAGATTGGTAGGACTAAGGCAGACCCATCTTGGAAGACAAGAAACTTCTCTGATGGCCGACTTTGGCTCAAAGACTCCCCAACAGCCTTGTTCATAATTCCTTAGAGTGAATGGTCTAGGACAGGGGTTAACAGACTGCATTTCACGAGCCACATGCGGCTCTTTGGGTACGTACGTGTGGCTCTGAAGTAAAATTGAAAATGAAAATCAAACTATCATAGTTTCACTTATAAAATTTTTAAAATATGTGATTCACATAATGGTGATTTCATTTGTTTTACGGCTCTCGAATAATTTTTAAATCGTTGTGAGGGACAGCGTTGGCTCTTCTGTCTCAAAAGTTTGCGGACCCTTGAGCTAGGATGTTTGACCTAACCTTCCCTCTCTCTCATTTACCAAGGTCATACCTGCATTATGCTTTCACGGCCTTCTCTGGCTCCTTCTCCATTTCCTTTCACACAAGTTTCTCCTGATTTAAATCCTTGGAGCTTTAATCCCATCTTGGCATCTGCTTCTCAGAGGACATGTTCTGCATTTGAAAAATTCCTACTGCCTGTATTCAGCAAAATCTGCCTACTCTACCCAATAATTGCAGGCTCCCAACTTCTGGGTGGTTACATGAATCCAAAGAAAGAAATATGTATGAAGAGAAGTCAAAATGAGTAGGCTTTAAGAAATTGGGTATAGGGCCGGCCGAGTGGCTCAGTGGGTTAAGAGCTCGCTCAAAGGTTTGAGCTCTGAGCAACAGCGGTTCGAGTCCGGCTCGAGCTGAACAGTCGCTGAGCTGCCAACAGGTGGCAGGATGGCTCAGCAAAAAAAAAAAAAAATTGGGTATGGAGTTAAGAGAAGGAGAAAGAGCAAAAGGAGGAGGAGTGGGGAGAGGAGGGGAAAGAAGGAGGTGATAACGTCTCAGAGTTCCTCTATGTTGACAATTTTCTACTAAAAAAATGGACATGGAGATCCCCTAAAATTTGACCTATTCATAACTCTAGGAAAACCTCGGAGGCTTTCTATGGTACCTGACTTGCTCCAGAATCCCAACTGTGAAATTGCTGTTGGAAGATGAGATGTACAGTCCCTTAGAGGGCTGTCAACCAGAAAGTCCCGTGTGACCACAATGAAGGCCACACGGCGCTCATTCTCGACACCCCAAGTGTCGATGTGTCCAACTGTCATTTTGTGGAAAGGCAGAAAAAGAGAAGTATACTGCCTGTGTGAAATATGTAAACCATGTCTCATAACCAAGAAAATAAAGAAAACACACACACACACACACACACACACACACACACACACACACACACACACACACCCTTACTCTGCTAAGAGGGTTAACATTAAAAGAAAGCCTTCAGGCTGGTAATTTCATAACTCACAGAAAAATTGAAAAGGGAGACAAAACCAGCAGCATCGTTTATAAGCCCTGGAAAATGGAAGTTTCCAAGCTGTCATAAATAAGGATGGGAGCACTTGCCAAGACAGAAATTTTGCCAAGTATGAAATCCACTCAATCCTTACATCTTGGAGCTCAGAACAGAACACCAACCTTTTGGGATTTGTAATAATTTCTTCTCAGCAAAACTTTCTTTTCATAAGGAAGTAAAAACAAAAAGCAAAAAATACGATATGGAAAGTTTTTTAAAGGAGTTGGGAACATTAAAGCATAGTGAGCACTGGGGAGGTGATAATGACATAAATTGTATATGTACTGGGATTAAATTCCCATTTAATCAAACAGGGCTTAAAGTGTGCAATATTCTTATTCTGTGTGTGTGTGTGTGTGTGTGTGTGTTATTGCATAGAGTTATGTCTTTCCTTGCCTCGTTGGTCTCTCTCTCTCTCTCTCTCTCTCTCTCTCTCTCACACACACACACACACACACACACACACACACACACAATTTCTCTTTTATGCACATATACCATCCAACCAATTTAAAATTTTTAATGTGTAAAAAATAAAGAAAAGACAAAGCATATTTGTGTGGGCTTCTGTCGGAAAAGGGAACTAGAGAAAATAATTTTAAAAAAATAAGAGGGAAAGAGAAAATAGGTAACAAGGGAGGGGATACTTTTCACCAGTTTATAAACCGAGTCAAGAGGAACCAGCGCCACCAGAATGAAGTGCAGAGGTCTGATGGCTATCTCAGAGCTCACAGACATAGGGTCCCCCAGAAGGCAAAGGAAAGCCCTGACCTCGGAGAAGCTAGCCAGAGCGTGGGTTTTATGGGCAGATGGATCTGATTTGTGTGACCTTGGGGAAATTGCTTAACTTTCTAAGGCTTTGTTTTCTCGTGTGTAAAGCATGGACAATAACAGCATCAACATTACAGATACTACCATCAGACCATAGCCCATGAGGCCAAAGACAGCATCTGTTTCGCTTATTGTGGTACTTCCCAGTGTTTGGCTCACTGTCTGACCTGTAATTGACACTTAATACATATTTACTGAATTTTGAATAGACTCAATGTAAGATAAAACAAGATAATGTATTGAAGAATTTAGCATATGTCTCAGTTAGGGTCGTAACAAAAAACAACCCTAACAGTTTAACTGTAGGGACAACGTACAGAGGTATGGACAGGTTAAAGGGACAAACAAGAAATGGTGAGGCACTGGCGACTGACCACAGTGGGAAATCTTTCCCACCTCACATGTTGAGGGGACAGATGGAGAAAAGGAGAAAAGGTGGAGCCCATCTTGAAGGATTGCAGACATGGAGAGATGAGCCCTGTTTGAGATAAGCCTCCACTCATGAAACAGGGCAGACATATCCTGACTCCTCTCCTCCACTGGAGACCTGCTAGTCACCCTGCTGTTCAGACGCACTGAGAAGCCAGCACACTCCCAGCACCAAAGTAAAACATGGTATGGAATCCCCCAATGCCCAAAGAAGAAGGGCAATAGAGAGGTAGTCGGTCTCCCCCAAACCCAGAAGCCGAAGTAAATGCAAAGAGAAAAATCTGTCAAGGAAGTAACTGTTGCAAAGCCCTATCAGACTATGGCATAGTTCATTTAAAACTGAGAACTCCCCCAAAAGGTAAAACAGTGCTGGCAGCTCTTACCATCACCCTCCAAGGCTCAAGGGTCTTTAGTGAAATTGCATGAACTTACCTGAAGCTGAATTCTAATCCTTAAAGCAAACAGACGTGGCCTACATTCTTATTTAGTGATTCAACAAGAGTAATTACTGTATGCTGAGAATTATTAAAAAGAAATAGAAGGTAGTGAATAAACACAAAAGAGATTTCTATGTGCCTCCTGGGAAACAGAATAAAAGTTTTAAAAGAAGAGAGGGAGGGGGAGAGCGTATTGTTCATTAGCTTATGGTAAGGCAGAGATTTTAATACAGTAAACACAGGCCCTAAGGTCTTGTGGTGTGAGATGAGACTTGACCAAATGACTGGAAAATTGGCGTGTGCCCTTGGCAGTCTCTTTAAGTCACTGGCTGCCAGACCAGACATTCAGGGACAGCAGCGATGACAGTGACCGAGCTGCTTAGATGCTGCTCTGTCTCGTTGCACTTCAGAGGCCAGGAATAGGTCAAGCAGGCATTTTCTGCCACCTTGTTCCAATGACTGGATCCTCTTCACACAGGTGACAGGATGTGGCCTCAAACATACATACCTTCCCACCATGCCCCTCCCACCCCACTCCCATCGAGGTGGTTTCCCTCGCCATCACTCATCGGAGAGCCAGGACTGCCCAAGTGAACAGGAAGTAATCAAGTTCAAGAGCGACAAGAAAATTCACTTTAGAACAATCAAAAACAACACATCCATCTTCAGGTATAATGAGCAAAGCAAACATTCCCTGGGTTTTTATTAGTTAATTAGCACTGAATAGATACTTGATGAAACTTCTTGTTTCATAAGGTAAAATGTTGAAAGCATGTGCCAATTTCACTACCTTGCCCTGTACTTGCAAGTCAAGATCTGTAGGGGTTGGTTAGTGGCCCAAAAAGCTGGGAGCTTCCCAGGACAGCATGCACCTTCCAGTGACTGAAGTTCACTTTATGATTCTGCTTTGCAACAATAATCTCTGCTCAAATGCTAGTACTGGCAAGGGTGACCGCTGGGCACTTGCACAGCCCTGAGAGTGTCCAAGGCAACTCACCGGTCGCACCCCGGTCACGGCCCTGCTTAAGGGTCCAGCCCATGTGGGGTATGTTGAGCATGTCGGCACTCCAGCCAGCTACCTGAATTCAAATCCTGGTATACCACTCATGAGCCAGGTAACCTGGAGCAAGCTCCTCTGTCACTCTGCTTCTCAGCTTTCTAACATTTAAAATGGAAGCAATATTATCTTTGGTCACAAAGAGTTGCAGGGAATGAATTAACCCATGGATGAATTAACACCTTAACATATGTTTTAACACTTAAAACATAGCATGTGCTTGGTACACAGTGAGAAATCAATACACGCTAACTATTATTATACCTTTTGGTTCCAATGGCAGAGTTCACTCCAATGTGTTAGAAAAGGTGATAGCAATGGTATAGGTACCTGAAATGAAGCGCTGGTAAAACTTTGATGCTCCTCATTTAAAATGATTTAACAAAAAGAACACAACAACAGCCCACATTACAAAATATTTTAAAGGAATGAAATTTTATTACTTCAAACATGAAGTAGCTCCAAATAAACTAATCACGTTTTGCCCACTAGAGCTTTTACAAGAAACTACCTCAGGAAGCAGAAAAGAAAAATCTAGTCATTTGTAACTTATTGCCTGTAAACACTTATTTCTAAGACTTGGGGGAACTTGAAACAAGCCTTTTCTTTCAAGCACTCTCTAAGCCAATTCATTTGGTATTTATAGTCTTAACCAAAGATTTTCAAATGGATAATTCAAAAGTTAAAGTGAATATAGACCCCATTCAAATGATCAAAAATTCCGTATAACTAAAGTGAGAACAAAATAAGCAGACCAGATTTTTGGATATGACCAGCAAAGCTATTTTTTCCAGCATCCTCAAAATACAGAGTACCATTCAAACTCATGGATGATTACAATATATGCCCAAACACATCGTATCCTATTATTTTATCAAAATCAAATCTGAGTAGAATCAATGCGTAAGAATCATCTGGGCAGAAAGGAGGGTCGAGGAGCAGAATCACAACACCTCCTAGGAAAGCTCCAAAATGGCCGTCACAGCATGGACACAGTAAGAACCACCCAACAAGTGAAATTCCCTTCTGTTTCATTTCATTCCCTTCCATTGGTCGTGTTCACACAATCACCATATAACTAGTGCATGCAAGTGAATCTGTGTGTGATTCGCAGGCGTTTACTGAGACACACCCAAGCACAGTGCAGGCTCAAGTCCTTCAAAGTGTTTTATTAGTGAAACTGAGGGTCTCCCCCCACCCCTCACTTGCCAGGCTATGTGCTAAGAGTTTCACATGAACCGTCTCACTTAACTCTCATAAGAGTCCAGTGGGGAGGCACTGTTACTATTATCATCATCTCATTTTGCAAATGAGGAAACTAAGGAATGGAGTGGTGAAATAACTTTCCCAAGGTCATTTAGCTTATGAGCATAGCTAGGATTCAAACCTGAATAGCCTGTATCCAGTGCCTACCACCTCAAATTATTTTACAACCTTCAAAGGGACAATGAAACCTGTTCTCAGCTCAGCAAATTTAGAAGGATGTTTAGAAAAAGCACAAGGCACCAGCACTCTACAGATTCTTAAAGGAGAGTCTGTGTACTTGGCTTGATAAGACATCGGGTCACACTGGATCCATTTTTCCAATCCCTAAGTCTCCAACTTGGAGCAAAACCTTTTCAAAGTTACCAGAAATGGTATCAAATGAATCACAGCTGGGGTCCTACAAACCTTGCTTTTAGGTCCTTTCTTAAAAGGGGAAAATGAGGAAAGGGCAGCGTGGCTAGCTGGGCAATAAAAACAAAAGGGACAAAGTGTGGGCACCACGTAAATAATGACAGTTTGATGGTATCTCATCTCTACATTCATTTGTCTTCCTCTCTCTCCCCTTTCATGAAAGCACAAGTCATCATGCTCATTCGAGCACAAAAACACTTAGAATTGAGGGACAGAGCACCAAAGGTACCCTCTTGCTGGGACCTGGGTCATTCCATGCTTTTACAATACCAAAGGACTTTCCCACAGAATTCAGGGTTGTGTTTTTAATGCCCTTAATTTTTTTTTTTTTAGTATTGCCTTTAGCCAAATGAAAATATATCTGAAGGCAAGAATCAGTAAACAGTAAATGAGTGATTCACACTGATGGAAATTTTAAAAGTCCTTTTTTGTGGGAGAGTTATTCCAGAATCTATAGTGGCTTTGGGACTCCCCCCAAATTCTCTATGACATTTCTCACACTCTTTCTTCTAATACCTTTAGCCTTAAACACCACCAATGACACATGGGACAATGGGATAAGCTTGAGGAAGAGAGGGGACATATATAAGGCCCTAGAGAGAATGCAAGACACATGGAGATAAATTATAAAACTTTATTGGCTTGTTAAAAAAATGAATGAATGCAGCAAGCACATTTATGATCAACCCACATGTTAAAACAGCACTTAAAAATAAAATAAAAAAATGATTATCCATTATTTACAGGAAATGTGAAAAAACCTGGAACATTATGGGGGGAAAAATAGGACATGAAAATGATTCACAGGCTGCCTATGGATTCCAGCAAACGGGTTTTAGCGTGAAATGAGTGACACTCAATGATTCGTCTTTCTTCAGAACCTCTTGCTACTTTTTTTCTGTCTTATTTCTCTTCAGCTTTATTGAGCTATCATTGACAAATAAAATTGTAAAATATGTAAAAGTGTACAATGTGATGATATGAAACATGTATATATTGTGAATAGACTCTCTTGCTATTTCATATTTGTTTATGCTCCACTCATAAATGGACTGTTTTAAAGGTGGTGAAAAATCTCTTCTTTTCTTCACTTCTCATGCGTTTTTTTTCTCTATGAAAACTAAGACTCCAGACATACCTGATAGCAATGTATCTTGGGTGCCTGCTAATGACCATTCCAAGACTCCACTGCAACCTTAGCCTGAATTGAACTCAGAGTGATCTCACTGTCAACATCAGATGGCTGGGAGGTTCCTTTGCCCCTGACGACCAAAACAAGGAAATGAGCTGACTTGAGTGGAAAGCTGCCTTCTGTGACAGTTGTTTTAATATCACTCCCTGGGTTGGCAATTCTGCTAACTTAATTCAGTCTGGCAGCACCCCACAGAAAATTATATTCATGCACTGTCCGGGAGCGTCCTTCACCTTCCCAGGTACCCTTGAATAAACCTGACATGGTCCATAGGCACTGCAGGTGTGTGAACACAGCAGCTCATGTTTAACGGGTTTGCTGCTTCTGTCCTAGTTTCCTTGGAGTCAGGTCTGCTGACTGGCACAACCCATTGGGCTGGAGGCAGCTACCCTGTGAAGACCCTGGATTAAATGGAATCGCTTCTCTTCCGTTGATGTCCCTTTGCATATGGAGTCTAGACCAAAAAAAAATGAAATGAGCTTCTGTTGTGTGAGGAAATCAGATGAAATCCAAGGGAGAAGTTCTAGACAGAAAGCACTAGAGCAGGAGAAAGTATAAATCCTGCACTCTCCAACAGAATGAGAGAAGAGTTAGCTCAGGTTCCCTTTAATGGTTGGATTCCAAATCGCAATGGGAAAAAAAGGTGTGTGTAAAGCAACCAACAAAGCAAATAAAAATAACGCTCAGCTTGTCATGGAGTCAAGTTAGAATGCAAGGTTGGGAAAGGGAAGGGAAGAGGAAAAGGGAGAGAAGGGGAGAGGAAGAAAGGGGGAGAAAGAGGGTGGAAGGGAGGGAGAGGAAGGGAAGGAGAGAGAAAGAGGAAGTCAGGGATTTTAAGTGAATGAAAAGAAAAGAAAGAGGAGAGAGAAACAGGAGCACCTCCATTATGCTCATGGCCACACCGAGCAGTGAACTGAATTCCCGCCTTGAACTCCTTGAGCTGTTTGCTCCTCAAACTCACAAATAATGGGGGCCTCTGCTCTTTCTGAGGAGGAGCTTCAGGCTCTAACCACTTTGGGGTGTAATTCGGAATTACCTAAAGAATTGGAGCCCAAAGCAGTCTTCCTCTGTGCTCTGTGTTGTGGGGCGGGGCTGGGGTTGTTTAGTTCTCATCTTTGCTCCCTACTTTTGGAAAGAGCACTCAAAGGGTCAAAATGAAATCGATCCCTGCTGGAGATCAGGAGTGAAAACTCCTGAACTGTCTTCAGAGTATGTGGGAATTCCTTTTTCCTGCTGAGCGATGGTCCTTTGGCCTCAGACTGATGTCTCATGTGGTAACAGTAGGAGTCTCTTAGTCTATCTCAGCTGCATTGAAGGGTCTCAGTGGGATCTTAGTCAAGATTCAGGGCCTGAATCACGCCTCTTGAAGATGACACACCTGTTTTCCACTTATCAATGACCACACCGGTACATTAAGGGCACCCATGAAAAGAGGCTGTGCGATTTCCCCTGAACTTGGCTGCACCTAAGTGGGCCCAGAGACTTGGACACTGGTGAAAGGAAGGTCATATCAAACAAAACAGGATTCACTGGGTTGCCTCCAGCCACATGGAAACGGGGATGATCAGAGGATGAAGGGCAAACATTGCTGCAAGAGAGTCCCAGGCAGGGAGAGAGTCAAGATCTCAGCTGGCGGAAGGCACAGGACAGCCCCAAAGGTAAGTGACACACTGCAAGTCACTGAGGAGCTAAACTCAGTGGTGATAAATCTCTCCATGGTGATTCTGGGAAGTGCGTTTGCAAAGGAAGGACAGAAGGATGTAGTGAGAGAACAATGATCTTGCTTTAAGACAAAAGTAACAAACTGGCAGCCCACAGGCCTGTTTTGTTGGCCTACATAATGTTTTAAAAATAACTGAGCCAACTTTTTAAAAATAGGGACATTTCACAATAAAGTCCAGGTTGCAAGGTTCTCTTAAAGAGTCAGAAGATTTGGAAACCTGGGTAGGAGTTGGCTGGGGCTGGGTAACAGCTGTCCCTCTGGAGGGGTGAGTGTTCACTCATCCAGTGCACATCTTTCATGTAGGGCACCTGCCTGGTACTGAAATGCCAGATTCTTGCTGGAGGGTGGCAAACTTGATTTCAGCAAAAATGCTGTCTATCCTTTCCTAATGTTGCAGAAAAAATACATCATACATGTCATTAGGAAGCTTGAAAAAGATTTCTTATAGGGAACATAAAAAGCCAAAGGATGAAAGGGGGTGGTATAGAGTATAGATATGAGAAGCTATCTTACTAATTGTGGTCTTCAGGGATTAAAAAAAAATGAGAAGTAAAGAACTCAAGAACCATATGAAACAATTTTCCAACAGCCTCCTGTTTTCATCGTTCCCTAGGCAATGTCAACTGCTGTTTGATATATTAAATTCCCTTATCTGTCCACTTCTCTCCATTTTAAAACAAAAATTTACCCTGCTATTTGTCTAGCTGTTGAGTACAAATATTCTTTTTTTCCCCCTTTTGGGTCTGGGAAACTTATAAAATAGTCCTTAAACAATTCATTGCTTTTTTATGGCTCCATGGAATAACATAAAAGCTTTTAAAAAAAATTGTACTGAATAGCCGATATTTAAGAACCCTAGCCGTTCTGCCAGCCTCTACTTGGCTTACAGTTTCAGTTTCATTTTTCTTTCAGGATTCAGGATTTCTCCAATTAGCTGGCCTTGTGGGTAATCAACACCTTTGGGAAAGATCAAAATCTAAATAGTGACAGGAACTGTCATTTAGTAGCGAGCAAGAAAATGGGAATTCAGAGAAGATTGAGACCTCTCCACAACAAGGGCCAGCTGCCCTCCCACTCAAATGTCTTTCTGGAAAGCAAACTTTTGAAAACGAGGAGCCTGTTTATGCTTTGGATAAACTGCCCTTTTCAGGCCTCTGTCTGGAGTAGCCAAATTAAATGCTGTAATCCATAGAACTCTGTGAAATGTTGGCATCTAGCAATTCCATATTTAGTGGCTAATGTAAAAGAGTATAAAATATTCATCATGAATAATCTTTTTATATCAAGTGGTGCCTCAATGGAGCTGGTTTATTAAGATGAATGCCTTGGTTACACAGGATTCAAAATAACATTTCCAAGCATGTTAGACTAGGTAAAAATCTATGACTCATTAAAGCTGAACTGCAAAATTTGAGTAACTATTACCAAAAAGAAATTTTTTAAAAAAAAGTCAGTAAGTTTCCAATTCAGCCGTGGCATCTACATGCATGCCTCAACCGTCAGAGCTGAATGTGGCTCTGAAGTCCACCTAACAAGAAAGGTGTGAGGTGCGGAGGAGTGGGAGCAGACAAACCTGTCTTTGGGACAGGGTTCCCGCTGGGCACGTACTGAGCAAAGTGTACAAAGGTCACTGCGATAGCCACCTGAGGGAAACAGGGGTCCATGGTAAGACTAAGGCAAGGTCGTGGGGTTCTGTAGCTGTAAGGCTGCCCTCTCAGCAATGAAGCTGGACAATACAAAGCACATATTCATTAGTGACCTGCCACCTCTGAGCTGCTGGTGTCAGGAAGAGCTGCCCTGCTCGTGAAAACCCAGCAGTAGCGTGGTATGTTGTAGGTGGACTATCCTACTTACAATATTGTCTTCTCACAGCAGGCCAGCCTTTCTGCATACAGGCCTTTTCAGAGTAGAAACGCTGCTGGTCTGTCACGGGAACAGCATGAGCTGTTGTGGCCTTATCACTCGGCAAACTTCTAAAACACCGGTAGATCGCAGAGGGCACATAAAAGGACATATGCACCCTATGCATATATTTCACTCTTTTAGTTATTCCGAAACTGACTATGACTAAACTAAATCTGTAGCCCCTGATCAAATAGCTTTTTTTTCTTTTCTTTTTGCCTTTAAGAAAACCATTAAGGAAACTTGAAGGAAATCATTAGCATTGACTGCAGGACTCTAGACCTTTTGTCAGTGACATCGCTATGTCCCCACAGCGATGGTATATATGCTCTTTTAGCTGCTGTGCTGTAGGTGGAAAAATAAAATTTTCTAAATTCAGCAGTGATTAAACAACAGAAGACGATGCTAAAATACATGTTAAATGGAGGTTACAATTTAGTGTGCACTTATACCTGTCCCTAAATTTAGACTGTTTTTTTAACTTTGTAGTTCATCTTTAATAAACAGAAACAATAAAAATGAAATACATTTCCAGTATGGTCTAACAGCACATCTTTCAGAAGAGAAGCACAATTCAATGGAATTTAAATTCTGCATTTGAATGATTGTAAGAACAAAAGGCAAGCATTAATTTGTTTTCTTGAGTTTCTGCTTAGCTGCCTGTGAGCTGCCTCATCACTGGTGTTCCTCAATCACAGCTCAGGTCATCTGCAGGCTCCATGCAGTACCTCCTGCAAACACCCCCCACATCTACCAGAAAACCCCAGATAAGCAGCACTTCCCGGGAAAAGCCAATGCCCGTCCCAAGAGTCCAGCTTACAAGGCAGCATCAACCAACAAGCACCACAGCCCTTTCTCTGTCTTTTCCTTTATTTCAGCTACCCATCCAGTGGGATCTTATGAAACAAAACAAAACCTAAAAGAAACACAAAATAAAACATAAGTCATGCTCAAAAGAAAAATCAATGGAAATTAACATACAATTACAATTACTTTTAAAAGAACACAATAAATAAACATCAAAATTAAGACACAACATGGAATATGCTTTAAAACATAAAACAATATATAATCACAGAACAGAAATTAGAAGAAAATGTGCATCTCATTATTGAGCAACTTGGTTTTGAACTTAAAACCAATTTTGCATGGCATGGAAAATATGGGGAAAAATCTCAAGGGTTTCTGCACACAGCTCCACTCACAACTGTATCAGATATTAATTTCTCAATTCAAGGAGGAGCAATCAGTGAACAATATAGATGACCACTGAAGAATTTTGATGTATAGGGAAAAAAATAAACTCAACAACAAACATCTCCTCAAATCCTAAATCTTTTTTCTGCCAAATTTTACCAAGTTATTTCTGAAATAACTGATTAATTACTCAGCAACCAAACGAGAAATCTGACTGGATTTAACTGGTAAAATACTGAACCACACACAGGTTTTGATTCTTTTTCAGGAATCTTAATATTAAGTAATTAATTAATTGCCTAAATTTAATCAAGCACCACAACATATATATGACACATACATATATAGAAATGTAATATCCATTATATTATATATGATATATAGCATACAGCATGTATTATACTGTATGTATATATAATATATACAAGACATAGTTTATGTGTATATTACATATAGTATATATAAAACATACAATATTAATTCTTCAAACATTTCCTGAGCACAGACCAAATCATAGACGCTGTAATGGAAAATACAAAAATAAAGAAAATGGAGTTCCTTGACTTCAAATACTTCATTGACCCACATATGGAAAAAGGTGGGTAAACAACTGCCACAATAAATAACAGCTAATCTATTTTGTGCCAGACTCTCTTCTAAGCTCTTTGTCCAAAGTAGATCTTTTAATTTCACAATAACCCTATGAAGTAGGTTCTACTATTGCTCCCTCTTTTCTGGTGAGAAAACTGAAGCCCAGAGAGTAAAGCAGCTCACTCAAGGTCCAAGAGCTAGTGTGCGATGGAGCCGATTCTGACCCAGGAACTCGGAGCCTATGGCCATGCTGCTGTGTCCCTGTGCAGGGAGGACAAACTCTCTCTGAACTTGCCCATGAAAATCCAGCAGGAACAAGGAACATTCTATTACATATAATTCTGTGTGGAATTTGCATGACTCTTCATCAGATTCATAAGTGACAAAATAGATGACGTTGTGGTAGAAACCGCCAAGACATTTTCAAGCTCAGCTTTGGAAGGCGTTTCTAAACCCAACCCTCCAGACTCTCGATCTTCCTCAACCTGGTGTCTGGTCTGCCAAGTACTGGTGTCATCTGCCTCCAGAGCTGTAATTACCACCACCAATCTGTATCATCATTTACAACAACACCACGGAGCTTGATTTCCATGGCATTTTGGTCTCCTGCCCTTCCAAGTCTCAGGAAAAGGACTTGGTATGGACGCCAAACATCGTTTATGGATTTAATCACCCACAAAGCACTGAGAACTTAGGAAGCACATAGTGGCGCTGATTAATTCTCCTTCATATCTGTCTCTACTCTCTTTCTAAAAGCTTAGCCTCCAGGCAAACATAAGCTGTTAGTACAGTTTAGAGGGTACGATGGCACATAGTACAAGTAGGCCAAATTAACCAACCAAACACCTAAATTATCCATCAGGTCTTAACAGAGTGATTCTCAAATTCCTTCCCACTGAAATAATAGAATTAATACTGGGATGTCCAGTTGGCCAATAAAAACAGGAGAAACTTGGTGATACCAATAGAAGACATCACCTCCAGACAAAATGATTCATTGATTCAATATACTATTGGGTTCTTGGAAAAGTCGTGACGTATTTTTTCTATGTTTTTCATTGCAAAAATGCATCATGACTTTTCCAACAACCCAATAGTTTCTCGGCACACATAATTTGGAAGGGCATTTGATTTAAAAAAAATAATAATAATAACAGAACAGATTAAACTGTGAATGCAAGCCTTATTTACAATGGGTTTATGGCACAAGAACTCTAAGACTTTACTGACGTCAGAGAGTTTACAGCAGGAACCATGCCTCTCTTCCTTTGCTTCTATTTGACATTTTCCTCCTTGACGCTCCTCCAGGCTGTTTAATAATTACAATTGGGAAACAATTGTGGTTTGTTAGATGCAACCTCTTTTGGACTGCCATTCACTCAGGGTGCAAGGGCATTTTTGCCCCTATTTAGATTGATGTCAGGGGTCCATCTTCAACCTCCTTCTTCTTTGCCTTTTGTGATGTATCCTCAAAGAAGCACACCTCAGCTCCATATGCTCATGCAATAAAAACCAGTGAAGCTACCATTAAAACACATGCAATATCTTCCTTGTGAGGAAAAGCCAGCCTGTTCCCAGGATAAGCCACGTGCAGTGTCTGCATTCAAATTGTCACTCATAATCACCCCTCACCTCAAGGAATGCAAGCCAGCTTCCTCTTGATACCCTTAATCTTCACATGCTCTTGATACTCTAAAGATACGTCATCTATTAAAAAAATTAGTTTGATTTAAAGATTTGATTCTTTTATAAGGAAATGTATCCAATGCTTCATATTTCTAAGGGGTTGACAGTAAAATTCAACCAGGGCCCCAATCTACCTACCAAGATCTCATGACTTTTGCCCTCTCATGCTATAAGAAACTCAAGAAAGGGGACACAAAATGATATAAAACAATAGATCATTATTTTCTCCTCGTGAGGGGGAAAGTTTTTAGACCACAACAAATGGCTGAACATCTTGTGGGCTTAGCAGCCAAACAAGCTGTCTAGCTTCTGAGCCTGAAATATAGATATTTTGACAGTGTGACATTCTGAAGCATTTGCAGCATTCCGATGGTGCATGGTGGTTATTGTGAGAATAGCTCCTTTATCAAAAACAACCTTAGAGAAACTTTGCCACCGCTGCTTACACTAGCCGAGCTACATAAGAACAAGGATAAAGCAGATGCTGTCTGAGAAATACGATGTGACGTTGAAAGCAGAGAAGAAAAACCCGGATGTGTCCTAAAACTCATTCTCTGCTATTGGCTGATTTCAGATATGCTCACTGACCTCTTCAAAGGGAAGAACTGGGGGCGATGAAGGTCAGTGAAGCACTGTGCTTCCTTTACCATTGGCTTCTGACTCATTTAGATTTATTTACATTCAAACGTGCACACATTTTCCTCCCATTACTCAGAAGCAATCAGCCATAAAATGGCAAGGATCTGCAGTACATTTAAATTAACAGCAATTTATCTGGAGCAAAAAGGAAAACTGCTGAGTCGAAAGGAAGCAAAGGGAACGGAAGAAAGATGCAGCTGCTATCTGAAAAAACCAATCTTACGACATTTGTTATTTGGAGAGTTCAAGTAGGAAACTGCCAGCTTGGGTGTTTGCATGGCATGGGGCCACTTGGGAAATGGTGTGGTGGCTAGGGTGACAGAACAGCTAACCTTCATTGGAGAGCAAAGCAAATGCTCCCTGAGCCTTCCAGAAAAAAAAATGTTTACTAGGAAAACTGAAAACAAACAAAGAAACACAAACAAAAAAAAGCCCTCAGGTGTTCTCATAATATTAGGTGCCTGAAAAATAGTTTGGGCAAAAGGCTTTCCATCACAAAGTTAGACTTGAGCTAGGCGCAATTCTGCTTTACTTCAGCACTGGGTTTAAACACCGCTTGTCCAAATTTGACATTTGGGGAACAATTTAATGTCTATCGACTCTTACACTGACTAGCCATTGCTGTTCTACCTTTTCTATTTTATAAGTGACTCACTCCACCCACAGGGTCACTGTGATATGTCTAGGTCACCTAGGAATGGAGTGAGAGAGCTGAAATCTAAACTCAGAACTTCTGGGTTGTCACTTCATCTTTTACAATTGTATCACCTGGACCTCTTGCAAAATTCTCCCAATATATAAGATTAGGTCCTGGTGCTCCCTTCTCTGCCCTCATTCCAGAGGTTGCTTAACCATCCTTCAGACACCCCTTTTGCTTCTTAAGGATGTGCTTTGTCCACACACCATCTCTTCTCCTAAGACCTCCTTCTACCAAGCGAGCTCTCCTTTTGGAAGGCTTGACCATTCTGGAAGGTCCAATGCAAAAGAGTTCTCCTGTGAGTATTTAGTTCACCGGCCTCTTCACTTCTATGGCATCTTCCATTCATTTGCATGGCCTTTTTTTATGCCTTTTAGAAACTCATATTTCTTTCCTCTTTACTTCCTGCATCCCAGACTGTGAGCCACAGGAGAAAAGAGAGAGTATGTCTATATGTCTCGTATGCCTGACGCTGCCTGCACAACACCAAGGACTGAATGCATTGTAAGTTTCAGAATAATAATGTCTAAAGTTGGAGCTTTTTTGAAGAATTTCAATGTACTCAACAACAGAACCAAAATGGAGGGGAGGGAAGGGGAGGATACAACACAATGTAGTATCTCCTGTTTCCCATTGGTAACTGGGTTAATTAGACCACGTCAAAGCTCCTGTACAAAATCAGATATTTCCTCAGAAGTATACTGAAGGTTACTGCACTAGACACATGGACACCCAGTGAATTCCTCCTGAGGCATTTTAAGATCCTGGGGAGAAGGTGCTAAACTTAGTTTATTCTAATTCTCACAGTGATCAAAATGACGGTGGCCGTGGGAGGGGGATAAAGAAAACTGTTGTCTATTTGTTAGCTGGAGATGAAAGACTAAAAATAAATGGCTATGGATGGTCAGCAAGGCTTTTAAAGCTGTGGTTTGACTTTGTAAAATAAAGTTTAGTTTTTTTGAGCTGAAAATTAAGGCAGGAAACACAAAGTTCTTGGCAAAGCTCTAACGTATTGGGAAAGCCAAAGCTATTGCACAATTCAAATTTGGTGATTCTAAGGAAGAACGTGATCTGGTCAACAAGGCCTGATGACAAGTGCCCCAGGGTTCAACCATTACCATGTCAGGGACTTCATATAGGATGGCTAGCACATCCAAAGGCTGACGTCATTGCCTCTATCTGTGAAGTCGCCTAAAAATGCTAAGTGGAGTATGAAAAAAAAAAAAAGATGGAGTTCATGGTTGGAGGAGCATTAAGATACTCAAAAGTTCTTCACAACCACCATGCTGAGGTACCCAAATCAATCTATTGTTCTCCTGTTGGTGTGTCTAGCCTCTGGCTTACTTCAATACATGTATATTGCAAAATCTATAAGGTAGCTCTTTGCAACATGAAATGACAAATTCTTCAAGACATCATTTCACAATTCTCAGACCAGAGAGGCTCACCAGTGACTCAAATATTCAGTACACATAAGCATGCCATTGTAAACTTCATTACAGAAGAGCATATTCTTGTGCTGCCAATGCAGGCTTGTGTCTAGATTTGTTTTTGCCAAAATCGTCCAGCCAGTGATTATTCTTAGTATATGAAGCCAGAGCACCAGGACCTACAGCGTCCACACAGGAAACAAATGACATAAAACCTATTGCTCAATTAACCTATTACTATGTAAAAACTGCAAGAACCTCAAACATCCACAATGAAAGTAGCTTGGCTCTGCTCAATTGTGGCTGACACCATGGTACACAGACCAAAATAGATCTGGGAATATATTTCTAGAGGAGTAAATAATACATAAAACAAGTAGGGAAAAACAAATGAACATGGGTTAACCAGCACCTATCTGATGATGATGATGATGATGTTGATGATGATGATGGAGAAGATGGAGATGAAAGCAGAAGATAAAAGGTGGAAGAACAGGAGGAGGAGTTCTTAAAGAAAAAGTAGTTGATGATTCATTTGGGAGACCTCAAGCATGTAAAAAAAAGTGACCACAATTAGTAGAGAGTGAAAATAGAGATAATAAGACCTTGGAGCAGGACTACAAGTCCAGATGCAAGTTTAAGATGATCCTAGAAGGAAGAGAGTAGGTGAAAATAAAATTTGTCCTGGATCACCACTTTTTCATTAGGTACTACCAGCAATACTTCAACAACAGAGTTTGAAGATCGTTAACGTTTAGGATGTTTGCTAAGAAAGCAACAATGAGGGGGGATTTTGTGTGCACAGTGTTCCTGCCTATTGTTGCAAAGCCCAGAAGTCCGATCCACTGCTGGTTCCAACTAAGCAGAGAGAGGGTCATAGAAATGATCTTCTCTTGAATAGAAGTACCTTATAAATCTCATCTCCATTTAAATTTCCTAAGTGCACAAGATAATGAAACCTCAGCTAAGCACCAAGTATTCCAGAATGCAAAACCAAGGTAGGTGGAGTTGATAATCCCCAAGAACTGACTACCATAAACATGAATTACCCAAATGTGCCCAAAAGCAAGATAAAAACCAAGGCCTTTGTTCAGCCTGGAAATAGATGTTTTGGAAGGTTGGCTGCCATCCTATGCTCTGACACAGACAAGATGAAGCTGTCAAATCCACATTCCGAGGACTTAGCTGCGGCTTTTCAAGGAGCCTAGTTTGTGTGGTCACTGCCCAGGCCTGTGATGGTTTCCTCCCCCACGTGTTTCTGCAGCACCCATCACCTCCTCCTCACTGCCCAGCCCCTGACAAGCAATGCCATTGTGACCCATTGTTCAGGGTCCTGCTTCCAGACCAAAGTGGGGCCACAGATCTGCTTTCATGGCTGCTGCAGGCACACAAGGAAGCTGCCTGACTTCAAACATACAGCAAGTCCTCACTTAACTCCACCAATAGGTTCTTGGGAACTGTGATTTTAAGGAAAATGACATATACGGAAACCAATTTTACCATAAGCTAATTGATATAAATAAGAGTTAAGTTACTACAGCATATTTCTGGTCACAATAGTGTCACCAAACTTCTAAATAAAGACCCAGAACACTTCTAATATTGAAATAAATATGACCTATACATACATGAAAGAAAGATTAATAAAAACAAGTAAGACAATGATTTTCCAACCTGCTTTTACTACAGTTCAGGGTCAAGGGTGGCCAGAGCCTCTCTGGGCAACTTAGAGTGCAAGACAGGACCCAGCCCAGGACAAGACACCCATCCATTGCAAGGCATACTCATACCCACACCCACGCTCATTCAAATGGGACAATTCAAACACACCAATTCACCTCGTGTACACCTTCGGGATATGGAAAGAAACCAGAGTCCCCGGAGAAAATCCACACAGATATAGAGAGAACGTGCAACTCCACACAGAACTGCTGCTCCAGTACCGAATTTTTTGTTCTTATCAACACTACAATGAAACGATGTTGAATGAAACAATGTTATTCAAGGAACTACTGTACTTCTTTGTACTCAGCCTTTTATCCAGAGAAGTGAATGTCCCCAAATTAGAAGACAGGTGAAGATAATGGGGCAGAAAGGAAGTCCTGCTGCCAAACAGGCCCATTTTCTCTGGTACCTTTTCCCCAGGAAACCGTCAGCAGAAGGACTTCCATCATCTCAGAAGTTACCTCATAGGACAAGAATTAAATTGTGCCTCTCCTCCACAGAATCTGAGATGTGATTGGAAATGTGGGTTGAAATGGTGTTTCTGCCCTTGGTCCACTACCTGGGACATTACTTGACACTGCTCTGTAAAGCAAACATTGAAGTCCCAGAT